AGCACCAGGCCCAGGACAGAACCTTGTGGAACCCCAATAGTAATTTTTTCCCAGGATGAAGATGAGCCACTGATGAGCACTCTTTGGGTTCAGCCCATCAACCAATTACAAATCCACAAAACAGTAGCTTTGTCTAGCCCACATTTTACTACCTTTTTTGCAATAATATCATGGGGGACCTTTTCAAAGGCCTTACTGAAGTCAAGGTAAGCTGGTACAAGGGAAAGCAGGATTGTAATTACCGTAAAAATTACTGATCACTTTGGATCAGCAGTCTCAACCTAACCCGCTATGTGGGGAGAGCCACGTGTTCCTTTGGAAGGCAAGTGGAATATAGTGTGATATACTGACAGCTGTTTTAAAAGATGTAACTGTAACTTAAAATCCAGTATCAGAAAAAAATAAAAATAGATGGTCCCTGTGTGGATAGTCAAGTCTGCATGATGGGGCCACCTCCAGTGACCATGTGGCCTGATATAAGAGGGTTCTAAAATCAGTCCGGAAAGTAGACTGATTGAGAATGACACACGCATAGCTTTTGCTCTTCCATTAACAGGGTGAGCTGAAGCAAATTCTTGCCTCCCTTTGGGCTTAGCAATATTTCCTACAGCATTCTTGTTGAAGGGCATTGGAGAGTTAGGTGAGGGTCACTTTTCTGTTTTTCCACAAAGCCCCCAGACAAGAATGCTACAGCATCAGCCCCAAACACTCAGTCTCATAAAAAAAAATACTCAACGGAGTTAGGGCTGAGGGTAGGGGAAGTACAATCTTTCCAGTCCTCTAGAAGCTGACCCTTTTGGTCATTTTGGTCATGGAGCCAAATATCTGTTCCCAAGTTTAAAGAGTCTAAACAAGTAAAGAACAAGCTTGCCCTTTACATGCAAAAGCCCTGAAATTCAGCCCATTGGGCAACTGATCATGGGGCTGGGAGGAGGGAGGTAAGGACTAGCACCTTCTCTGCCCTCCACCTTCAACAGCTACACCTGAAAGTTTCATGATGGTGTTCGATTTGAGAAGCTGAATGTTTATAAAGGCACTTAGCCAATTTCTGCCACGGAAATTCTGAACAGAAACACTCTGCAGGTTCAGCCCCCAAAAGAAACTGCTCTATGGTCTCTGTGTTGGGAAATGGGAACAGATCTTGCTCATCACCAACCTTCCCTCTTCCCTCAGAGATACACCTCTGTATGGTGTATCTCCAAGATGGCGGTGCGTGCAGACGCTGCGGCTGAGAGCTCCCGGGAGGGGAGTCAGGGTTTGTTAGGACGAATTATTTATAGTCGATACGAAATGCTATTGTACAGAGACAGAAGTAGCAGCAGATACAGATGTAGAAACTGTGCTGTGTGGGAGCAGCTATGGGCGTGCGAGATTCCAGAAATCGTAAATTATCGGGGTTGGAGGAGGAGGAGGAGAAGAGAGCGGAAGCAGAAGAGAGGCTGTATGTTGGGATACTGCCAGGGAGATAAAGTCCATCAAGGCCCCCAAGCCGTCTGCCGGACGATCCATCGACCTCCCGTAGTCACGCAGTATCAACAATTAGCGACATGAGTTTCTCGAAGATTTCTTGCCACATTCCAGAGCTCATGCACACTCTTATCAGCAGATAGCACAGCCAAAAGTTGCAATCAGGAGAGCATTATTTACAAGTTTATTCAGCGTTGATCAGAACACAGAAAAACATGACTGACTGCTTTAGCGTCTGCGACACCCGTGAGACATCGAAAGCAACAGAAAACATAAACAACCTGTGAACAGGAAATACGCAGACTCTGACTCACAAAGCCTGCTCCCTTTTAAGGTGGAACGGAAATATACTAACATCCTCCCCTTTCCGTGTAACCTGTAGTACCTGTGGTTCAACCCAATTGCAACCTTTGTACATAAACCTTAAGTTGTTCTCTGTTAACAACCTTAGACAACAGATCAGCAGGAATTTCATTTCCTGCCATGTAGGACACCTGAATGAGTCCTTTCTGAATACACTCCCTTGCACGATGTAGCTTAATCTGCAAGTACTTGGTCCTTTGCTTGCAACTCTCCGAGTTCAGCAAAGCCAAACACGATCTATTGTCTTGATACACTTGTACAGGACATTTCACAGAAACCCCGATGTCCTTAAACAGTTGCATCAACCATTCACAATCCATGAGTGAAAATGACAGAGCATTGAGTTCTGCTTCACAGGAACTTAGGCTCACTGTCGTCTGCTTTTTGCACAACCAGTCAAACAGGCAGTGGTTGTACATGTAGCATACTCCAGAAGTGCTTGTACCATCCGTGGTGTCACTTCCAAAACTTGCATCTGCAAAGATTTCAAGACCTCCAGTCTTCTGACTGGTGAACCTCAGCCTGTAGTGCAAAGTCCCTTTCAAATAGCGGGCTATGCGCTTCAGAGCTTTCCAATCCTGAACAGTAGGATTGTTGGCATGTCTGCTAAGCAGGTTACAGCTTACAGCTATGTCAGGTCTTGAGCATCTAGCAATGAAATTCAACTTGCCTAGAATGCATCTGTACAGCGTTGTGTCAGAAAACGCTTCAGCAGTACTATCTACCTGGTAACCTGTCACCATCGGTGTGTCTGCTGGGTTTGCATCAACCAAATTCAACCTGGTTAATACATCAGCAATTTTCTGTGTTTGGTGTACCAGAAAATTACCTGCTTGGTCCCTCTCCACCTGCAGAGAAAGATAGTTGGATACCTCACCAAGATCCTTCATGTCAAAGTGCTCCTTCAGCTGAGCTAGGGTGCTTTGATAAAAAGCCTGATTCTTCCAAAACATCAGAAGATCATCAACAAAACATAAACAATACAGTTTGTTTTGCCCCTCCTCCTTGACAAACACACATGGATCAGCTTTGCCCTGGTGAAAACCTAGAGAAAGCAATGTCTCAGTGAGCTTTGTGTTCCAACACCTGGCACTCTGCTTGAGACCATACAAGGATTTCCGCAGTTTACAGACCATTCCCTTCTGTATCTGCATCCCATCAGGTGGAAGCATAAACAGCTCCTCGTCCAAAACCCCGTACAAAAAAGCTGTATTAATGTCATGATGGGAAACATGCAGTTTCTCCTCTGCAGCTATCTTGAGCATCAGCCGAATGCTCTCATATTTGACGGTGGGTGAGTAGGTCTCGTGGTAATCCTGCTCTGGTACCTGTGAAAAACCTCTGGCAACCAATCTGGCTTTGTGTCTAACTACCTTGCCATTCTGGTCTGTCTTGGCCTTGAAGACCCATTTGCTGCCAACCAGTCTCATTCCTGGGACTACCGGTACCAACTCCCAAGTTTGGTTCCTGTTCAAGGAATCAACTTCAGCCTTCATGGCACTAAGCCAAGGCTCAGCATCTTTAGAGGTTAACTCCTGAACCTCTTTGAAGCTTGAAGGTTCCCACACCTTCTCTGAGCTACTAAGAACAGCAGTTGCTGTCTTAGCAAACTCATCAGCAAATCTCTTTGGAGGTCTGCCCTTCGTGGCCCTCTCAGATCTGCGTACTAGACGCAAGTCTTCTGGACTCATCTCCTCTTTCTTAGGAGAAAAGTGACCAATGGTGAACAGTGGTTCTTCCAGTTCATTGTCAGACGCATCAGATGGTCTGACTGAGGCCTTTGCGCTCTTGTAGTCTGCTGTGTCATCACTGTCACTGACACCAGCAGCAGCGCCGCCCACTGAACTGGAATCCGAACTCTGATCATCATCATCATCATCATCCTCAGCAGCTTCCTCAGCTTTAGCTGCTTCTTTGACATCACCTTCATCCTCCTCTGGGTACCTCTGGAAAATTCCCACATTTTCCCCCCACTTAGGATTGTACTCAACACTCTTTGTGAACTTAATGGACTTAGAGTTGGTCATACATAACCTGTATGCACCTATTTCGTACCCCATGAACAAACCATGTGCCCCACGCTTCCCAAGCTTGTTGCTTTGTGGGGTGTGTACCCACATGTCAGAACCAAAGATTCTCATGTGCTTGATGTTGGGTTTCTTACCAAACATCTTCTCATAGGGGGTACAACCAATAGGTGATGACAATCTGCGATTATAAGTGTAAGCAAAATTCGACAGAGCCTCCCCCCAATACTTATCAGGGAGATTGGCATCATGCAACAATGTTTTCATCCCTTGCAGCAACGTTTGATTTGCTTGCTCACAAATCTCCCATGGAGATCCAGGACTTGAGAGGCTATGCTGGATTCCCTTCTCAGTCAGGAAAGCTTCAAACTGCTGAGAAGTGAACTCCCCGCCTCGATCAGTAAACAGACAGCCAATACGTTTACCGTGAACATTCTCCAACCAAGCACAGAATGCCTTGAACTTAGGAAACGCTTGCGATTTCTGCTCAAGCATAAACACATGAATGTACCTGGAAAAAAAGTCAATTAGAACCATGAAGTACCTTGCTCCACCCAAAGAGGGCGCAAGTGGACCAACCAGGTCTGCGTGCACTAGCTGGTAGGGTTTGGAAGCCTGCCTGCTAGACTCCTTTGCCTTTTGGAGCAACCTTCACCTTGTTCTCTGCACAAGATACACATTTCATGTGAAACTTACAGGGTTTGATGTTCAAACCCTCAACCATCTCTGGCATCTTGGCCAGTGCCTTCCAAGAGATGTGGCAAAACCTTCGATGTGCATCATGAATGCATCCTGCATGAAGAACTTTGTTAGTTTGTGCAACACAACAAGAATCAGCATTAGACACAACAGCACCAATGTCATCATAAGTTATACAGAACAAGCCATCCATAAACTTTGCATGCAAAATGTCCTCTTTGCCTTTTCTGATGACACAGACGCTCCTCTTGAAGGAAATCTCAAAACCACGCCCAGTCAGCTGTGGGACACTGAGCAAATTGTCTGCAGCGCCTGGAACATATAGTACATCTTTGATGGTAGTGTGCAGACTTGCCAGTTTCACAGTCCCGACTCCTGCGATTCGCAACGTCTTTCCGTCAGCCAGGTGGATCTCTCCTTCTTGAGGTTTGAAGGAGATAAAGAGGTGGCGGTCCTTTGAGACATGGCGGGTACAGCCTGAATCAACAACAAACCTGGCCTTGGCTTTTGGAGCAGCCTTTGCAGCAAGCAAAACCTTGTTTTCCACCAGCGTGGGCTTTTGCAGCTTGCCCCCCTGCTCCTGGCCATCAGACTTGCCTTTAGCCTTTGGTGAAGCTGTGCCGGCAAACAAAACCTTGTTTTCCACTGGCGTGGGCTTTGCAGCTTGCCCCCCTGCTCCTGGCCATCAGACTTGCCTTTAGCCTTTGGTGAAGCTGTGCCAGTAAACAAAACCTTGTTTTCCACTGGCGTGGGCTTTTGCAGCTTGCCCCCCTGCTCCTGGCCATCTGCAGGCGTCTGCCTCTGTTTACCTTTGCCCTTCCGGCCTCTGCAAAGGCGATGACCTTGGCTCCCATGAGAAACAGAGCTCTCAGCTGCCGACTCCTTGGCTCCCCCTGGAGGCTGGAATGCTGCCTGGGATGACGTGACAGTCAGCTCCCCTGCAGTTTGCAACCGGTGCCCTCAGCATCCCTGCATTCACTCGCATTCTGGGAAACAGCCAGGACCTCCGATGCAGTCAAACTCTGGGCTGGGATGACTGGCAGATGGGCTATCTTTAAAGCATGCCACATCTTTCGTGCAGTCAGATTGCCAGCTAGCGTTTTTATTTCCTCCAGAGAGACGGACAAGACGATTACGTCTATCGCCCTCAAATTTTCGGCCTCCCATCTATCTGTCAGAGGAACTGGAGGGGCCTCACACACTGTATGCCACACTCCAAACTGACGCAGCAAGCTCTCACACCACACAGCCCAGGTCCCATAATTGTGCCGATTTAACTTTGGGCACTCATCAGCCTCAGAAGCCTGGAAAAACTCCATTCCAGCTTTTTACTTGAGCCTTGAGCCTTTATGCCTTCAAAGACGTCTTATCTTAGCAGCTATAAATCTTGAGGCCTTTGGCGCGGCTCCCAGATCCAATAATCTGCCAGCCGGACATCAAAGGTGCTTGCCGCGGCACACAGAAAAGCCTTACTTTCGCTTTTCCTCCACATACCTTTCAGCAGTCTGTCGCAGTCTTACTCTCCTGTAAGTGCTGTGAATCTGGGCCCATAACCTGTTGTTGGGATACTGCCAGGAGATAAAGTCCATCAAGGCCCCCAAGCCGTCTGCCGGACGATCCATCGACCTCCCGTAGTCACGCAGTATCAACAATTAGCGACATGAGTTTCTCGAAGATTTCTTGCCACATTCCAGAGCTCATGCACACTCTTATCAGCAGATAGCACAGCCAAAAGTTGCAATCAGGAGAGCATTATTTACAAGTTTATTCAGCGTTGATCAGAACACAGAAAAACATGACTGACTGCTTTAGCGTCTGCGACACCAGTGAGAAAACGAAAGCAACAGAAAACATAAACATCCTGTGAACAGGAAATACGCAGACTCTGACTCACAAAGCCTGCTCCCTTTTAAGGTGGAACGGAAATATCCTAACACTGTAGAGGACAAGGTCAAATGAAAGAGAGAATAAAGATAAGGAAGATAAGGAAACAACGATGCAAACTACCTCTTCCAAGTATCTTTTACGCTAATGTGAGATCATTGGCAAATAAACTTGACGAATGGAGGCTTCGTGTAGGAGTGGAGGAAGACATCCGGGATTGTTGTGTGCTGATACTCACAGAGACATGGTTAAATTCAGCTATTCCAGACACAGCTGTTGAATTACAAGGTTTTACAACGTACCGGTGGGACAGGACACAGGATTCTGGCAAGAAACAAGGTGGGGGTGTGTGTATTTTTGTAAATCAAAACTGGTGCACGGACTCTGTCAAGTTGGATACCTACTGTTCTCCGGATGTGGAATTTCTGACAATTAAATGCAGACCTTTCTATCTTCCCCGGGAATTTACAACAGTGGTGTTAACAGCGGTGTACATAGCACCAACTGCAAATGCATGCAGGGCCATGAGCAGTATGCATGAAAACATCAATGCTAAATTGAGCAGATACCCGGAGGCTGTGCACATTATTGCGGGGGACTTCGATCACACAGATGTGAGGGCAGTACTCCCAAAATTCCATCAGCACATTGAGTGTGCAACAAGGGGAGAAAATACTCTTGACAAGGTGTATACGAACATTAGACGGGCATATGAGGTCAAGGCCTTGGCGCACCTCGGTGGTTCAGATCATGTGTCCCTGCTTCTGACACCAGTATACACACCCCTCAGGAAACAAGGCCAGGTACAAACACGGATGGTTACGGTGTGGCCTGAGGGAGCCTCTCAGCAACTGCAGGACTGTTTCCAGGAGACCGACTGGAATATCTTCGACCATCAAGATCTAGAAACTTATACATAAACGGTCCTGGATTATATTAGATTCTGCACAGCAAATGTCACCAGGGAAAAGTATGTTAAGTTGTATCCAAATAGGAAGCCCTGGATGACAGGAGAGGTTAGGAGATTATTGAAGGCCAGAAATTCTGCTTTTAGAACTGGGGACTGGGTATTGTATGGCATAGAAAGAGCAAACTTGAAGAGGGGTATCAGGAAAGCAAAAGCGGAGTACAGAGGAAAAATTGAGGACCATCTGAGAAATCATGATACTAGACAAATGTGGCAGGGAGTCCAACATCTGACTGGTTATAAATCAAGGAATTCATCAGTGGTAGAGAGTACTGCTTCCTTGGTGGGAGAGTTGAATACCTTCTTTGCCCGATTTGAGGTGATACCAACAGTGACTCCAACAGGGATGCCAGAGCTATTGGCGTCACTACCTACAGGAAATGCTGCCAGGGTGGAAGAGGGAGAAGTGAGGCGAATATTAAAGGAGGTAAACACGAGGAAGGCTATGGACCCGGATGGGGTGGCTGGCAGGGTGCTAAGGGATTGTTCGGACCAACTGGCAGGAATCTTTACGAAGATTTTTAACCAGTCTCTGGCCCAAGCCACTGTTCCACCCTGTCTGAAATCTGCTACCATTATACCCCTGCCAAAAACATCAAAGATAGACAGTCTGAATGATTTTCACCCTGTGGCGCTGACACCCATTATAATGAAATGTTTCGAAAAACTGGTGAGGAAGTGCATCTTATCTTGTCTGCCAGTGGGACTTGACCCTTACCAGTTTGCGTACAAGGCAAAGAGATCCACAGAGGATGCTGTGGCAATGGCTTTACATGCTGTCCTGACTCATTTGGAGAAACAAGGGAACAACGCGAGACTGTTATTTGTAGACTTTAGTTCTGCATTTAATACTATTCTTCCGCATAGATTGGTGCCCAAATTATTAGACCTGGGACTTCCACCATGTTTGTGCAGGTGGATATTAGACTTTCTATCAAACCGTTCCCAAAGGGTCAGGTTGGGTTCCCACGTCTCTGCGGATCTCATCACGAATACGGGGACGCCTCAGGGGTGCGTGTTGAGCCCGCTTTTATACACGCTCTATACAGCTGACTGTGCCCCCAAATACCCCACTAATAAGATCATTAAGTTCGCAGATGATACAACGGTGGTTGGTTTAATTACGGCTGGAGAGGGGGAGACGGCCTATAGGAAGGAAGTTGAGCAGTTGGGGGAGTGGTGCAGGAAAAACAACTTACGGCTTAACTTAAAGAAAACAAAAGAGATCATTGTGGACTTTAGGAAATGTAAATTGAATATTCAGCCACTTATTATTGGGGGGAAGTGCGTGGAACAGGTCTCAGTGTTTCGATTTCTGGGAATGGAGTTGAGAGACGACCTAACCTGGGGAGAGAACAGCAAAGACCTGGTGAAGAGAGCACAGCAGAGGTTATATTTTCTGAGAATCCTCCGGAAAAACAATCTCTCAAAGGACCTGTTGATGGCATTCTACCATTGCACTGTAGAGAGCGTACTAACTTATGGTCTGTGCGTGTGGTTTGGGAGCTGCACGGCCAGGGAAAAAACAATGCTATCCAGGGTTGTAAAGACTGCAGAGAGAATTATTGGGTGCACTCTTCCCACCTTAGATCAAATCTATGCTGCCAGGTGCCATAAGAAAGCGGCAGAGATAGCACATGATAGTACGCACCCCGGAAATGATCTCTTTCAGCTTCTGCCTTCTGGAAGAAGGTATAGGGTTATAAAAGCCAGGACTAGCCGCCTGAAAAACAGTTTCTACGCTAATGCAATTCTGGTTCTAAACGCAGCATAAGGGGTTTCTGCAGTATAGTGTGTTTTAAAATGGGGTTTTAGAGTTTTTAGGGGTTTTTGAATGTTTTATGTAGTTTTTATATAGTTTTATGTAGTTTTTATGTAGTTTTGTGGTAGTTTTATGTAGTTTTTATGTAGTTTTATGTAGTTTTCAATTTCATTGTTCCGCAAGGGACAATGACAATAAAGATATCGTATCGTATCGTATCAAATCAGTATCACTATGAGGCTGAACTGAACAGCTTGCTCCAGAGTTTTAAGAGATACGTTTCTGTGGTGTAATGGTTAAGAGCGGTGGACTCTAATCTGGTGAGCTGGGTTCACTTCCCTGCTCCTCCACATGCAGGCTGCTGGGTGACCTTGGGCCAGTCACACTTCTCTCTGAACTCTCTCAGCCCCACCTACCTCACAAGGTGTCTGTTGTGGGGGTGGAAGGGAAAGGAGATTTTTAGCCACTTTGAGACTCCTTCAAGTACAGAAAAGCAGGATATAAAAACCAACTCCATGAATAAGAATTCTATGGAAAAGGACCATCCCTGCCATGATGATGAAAACTATATGTTTGGATTTTGCTGTATTATACCAACCTGTGGAACATGACAGTTCACAGTTTCAAAATCTATTTGGCCACAGTGGATTGACAGTCTGGACACACAAAAACCTCTGGAAGATCTTTTGTATCAATGCCTATGCGAAAGCAGTGGTACCAGTCTATAATGGGTATGGGGTTGCTCGTGCGTAAGTTGCCGCCTCTCCTGGCTATGTTGCCTGGTTAAATCTTTCTGTCTGGACAGCCCTTCAATTCGTGGCTGCCTCAGTCGCTAGCAGAATCCGCCAGTGGGCGTTTCTTAAACCTCTTCCAACATAAAAGTTGTTTGACGCCCAGTCTCCTCCTACTCTCCCTGCGTGGAAGTCTTCTGCGCAGGGAGGGCGTGGGTAGTGGAGGACCCATGCTCTCCCTGCTGGTGTCCAGTGAAGAGTCCTGGAGCCCTCTCGCCGATTCCCCCCATCTGCCCCCCTTTATCCCTGGTGTAACATTGATTTGCTTCCCCCTCTGCTAAACTGCCTCTCTCCCTGCTTGGCCCTTCTCCAGCATCATTTGAGAGCCTTCCCTCCGCCTCAGGCTCCGATGTCAGTTCCCTGACATCCACCTCCCCCCCAGGACCCCCTCCACCCCCGGCCCAACCTGTTGATCCAACTTCGTCCCTATCTT